TGTAGAGAATAGTCTTAAAAAATATGGAATTTGCTTTGATCATCTTTTTAAATCTGAATAAGAATATAACAGACTAACAAAACAGCGTTTTAAGATGGTTTTCAATATTGCTTATAGGAACCAGTCCAGTAACACATCATGAACAACATGGAGAGGGTTCGCTAACCTGACTCCACCAGATGGATTTGCTCCGCATATCCATCTGAAAACCTTCGGTACAAGTAATTTTGGGAAGGGGCGAAAATACTCGTTTGCTGATTGGCCTATGTTGGTGATAGACCGGCCAAATAAACCAATCAGATCAATGAAGCATATGACGTAACAGAGCGACGACGAAGAGGAGCCAATTGATAGATCAAACTCTTGCCGAAACCAATCGCGAGAAGCCGGTGACATCACGGCCCCAGAGGATGACATACCAGAGGATGAGGAGGGGGAGAAACGTGTTGGAGGCAGTCAGTGGTGCTCCATGGAGGGACCAGCTATCTGCTGAGGTGTCTGCCCTGGAGGAGGGTCTACCCGACCACCGTTACATTTAGATGGCAAGTAGAATCACATTCTAGCTGTTCTTATTTAAGGGATATGAAAACACTTTTAGTAAAGTCATTATTTTCTGCATCTTTTTAAACTTTTTTAGTAACATGGCAGCCGTCGATTGGGTCAGCCCTGCAAACCCTGATGGACACTGTGGTGAACAGTGGAGAGAGGCACCCCCCACCCCCCAGATGATGTCCCACTCACAGTCAGAAGACTCCAAGGTCATCTGTGTGGCATCGCATCCAGTCCAGCAGCACCACCAGGGACTCCTGCTCAGTCACAATTGTATATATATATATATATATATATATATATATATATATATATATATATATATATATATATATGTTCTCTAGTAATATTTATTTTATATCTTCTGTAAATAGTTGTAGTAGTTAATTTTAAAATCTAATGTAAATAGTTAAAAATGTTTTTAATAGTTTATTGTAAATACTTGCTTCTCTAAAAATAAACTGATGTCACTGAGAAGTTGTTCTAATTTTACTTAAATTATAAAGAAGTGATGAAACAGATAATGTAAAAAGGTTGAAAGACTTTAAGAACATACCGTAAGACTGGTAATGATTTACGGTTCCAACATTTAGCTTTTTTTTTTTTAAACAACATTCAGCAGTCTAAAAAGACACCAGAGACCTATTTCTGTTTCTACAGAGGAGTAGAAGAGCCACCATTCCAACAGAATACCATGTTACAATTTCAACTATATTTGTGAAACTACTTTGTTGGTATATTGATTTTTTTTTACAGTATAAAATGCATAAATTACACTTCGGTGCCTTGCTGGGTTCTTCCATTTAGAGGGGTTTTCTTTGGGGTAATACTTTGATTTTTTTTTTAAGTAAATTTTTGAGTTATCTTCAATCACATTGTTTATTTTGTAGACTGTTTCATTATGTAGATGAGTTTGTAAATTAGATTAATCATTTTATTCTTGTTTCTCTGTTTAGACTTTGTTTGTTTTCTACCTGTTTAATTGTGGCTCGGTCCACTCCAGTGCAGGTGTGTTGCCAACTGGTTATACAGGCACTGAGATCTTGGAAGCTCAGGGAGATGGTTGTCAGAGGGAAAAGTGCTGAATAAAAATCCTCAGAGGAATCTGGAACCGGAGGCTGATGCTGTTTGTTTTGTTCACCTTGCTGATCCTTGACCATACTACCTCACATATAGTAATATTAGAGCTCCTGTTGACTTCAGTTTGGTTTATTTATAAAGAACCCATTTACAACCACTTATTTCAACAACATTTACTAAAAAAGACCAACAGATCCTGTTCAAATGACTTAAATCAAAGCTTTATTATAGTAAAAAATAACAGGTGAATATAAAATAAAAGGAAGGATCACTTAGTAGAAACAGAACCAGTAGGCAGGATTTAATATAATTTAGTATAGTGAAATAAAAACAAGTAATCTAAAGGCAATTTACACGAGAGCTTTAAAACAGAAACATGTAACACAATTCAACACAAACACAGAATGAAATCAATCATAAAAATCCAATTACATCCTTTTTACAATATGGTAAAGATAAATTAAGTCTATTTTGGCGTTCAGAGAAATGTCTTCAATCCAAAGAAGCTCAGCCAACCGCATTTCCTCCTCCTGAGCAATGAAGTGGTGACAGTAGAGAGGAAAACTAGCTTTAAGCAGGAAGGATCCTCCAGCAGAACGTGGCTCCATGTCAGCGCCCATCTACTGCGGCAGAGCGGGTCTTTAACAGGACAGCAGACGTCCAAGAGGTGCCGGTCCAACGAGGAGACGACGGAAGAAATCTGCTGGAAGAGAAGAACAGGAGTTAGTGAGAGAACACGCTAGTCAGTGACATTTAAACACAGAAACACTGAGAGAGGTGTCAATTTAACGGAGAGAAGAGGGAAACACACAGGGAGAAGCTAAAGTTAACAGCAGTGATAACTGTAGACAATGGATGCTTGGAGAAAATGCCTGAAAATGCTGCATTTGTTGGAGTCTACAGTCGGTTTCATCAGCGTCGTTTCTCTGCTTTAATAAGTTCTAAAAACCCTTCAGACATCAACCAGGGGGAAATTCTCCCATATTAGATCAGAAGCTGCTTCTTAACTGTTTATCTGTGGTCTAATGGAAAAGTCAGAACTTCTGGTTCTGGTAAAGTTTTGGTTATAGAGATAAATTGAGGTGAACATCCCTTCATGATGGAAAGAAGAATTAAAGGTTAGACCACCTTGATGGGATGGTTTTGGCTTTTGAATCTATTTATTCTGGATTTGTTTTTATTGTCTTCTCCACTACTGATGAACATCTGGAAGCAATAAAGGTTCTTTACCTTCTTTCTGGGTGGAGCAGACTGATGGTTTAGCTGTGGGGTCGTCAACGTTTTTCATTCCAGGACTCCAGAATGTTGGAGAGACGAGCAGGGCAGCCATGTTTCTCCTCCTTGGTGGTCTGTGTTCTCCATCCTCTGCTTCAGCTCCTTCATCAATGAAAGCAAAGTGTCCTCAGAGTCATAAACTGTCTGCATGTGATGCCTCTATAGTCAAACAACCAACATACCTCCAAATACGTGTGGATGGACTCTGTTCCACTGAGATCCGACTGTTAGAACGCTGCTTCCATATTCAACCTGCTTCTCCTGTAAAAAAGAAGCTAAATTAATCTACAGAATTTCCTGACACCAAGTTTAAATCTGGGGCAGGATGTTGTTCAAATAGTCATCTTGGTCTCTCTGTGTTCTGCCTGGAAGCTTGAGTTGTCTGTTTGTCGTGTTAATAAAGGCTTACTGCACGTGTTCTCCTCTGTGCCGTCCTCAGGTGGGGACTAGGAGGCTCCTCAGCATCCTGGATGTCCCGGTTCCTCACAGCAGTTCTGATTTTGGACGTCCACAGTTCCTGAAAATACATGAAAAACTAAGTGAGGCCACCTGAAATGTTGACTTGATATTTAAATGATGGATTATTGTGTCTCCTTACTGAACATGCTCTCAATGTTTACTGCTCCTCCGGTTTGGTCGCCGTAGATCTCATCAGCGTCTTCTGACGGCCCAAAGCTTGTAGCGGCTCGGTCCGACATGGGATTCACAAACAAAGAAGAGATCCACTGCGGTCAGAACTGGCACAGATCACATGGAGAATATTTCTGCACAGGGTTCTTTCCCTTAAACTAGGGCTGAAAACTAACTGAGGAACATCTAGAACTAGATCAACTCACAGCTGAAAGTGGGTTCTAACAGTCGGCGCCATTCACAATCCACATCCCTAAATCAGTCCTTTCCTCTGCTTCAAACTGCTCTGAAATCAATTAGTCCCTCCAAGCATCGTCTTTATCTTCTCACCATCATCCCAGAGACCAGTGCAACTGGTGACCACAGCAATCTTTGCCACTGTTCTATTCTAGATCTAGTTTGTCTGCAGCAGCATTGTCCTTCTATAGATCAGGGCTTTCCAGCTCCACTCCTCCAGAGCTGCTATGCCGCAGCTTTCAGTCACATCTCTTCTCCATCAGACCTGAATCAAAGGTCTGAATTCCCTCATCAGTCATTCAGCTCTGCAGAGCTGTTTGATCCTGGTGTTTTGGAGGAGAGATGCGGCTGAAAGCTGCAGAAAAGCTGCTGCAGAGGACTGGAGTTAGAGACCTCTGCTCCACTACAGCCTTGTCCCTCTGCCTCTAGACTTGAAGTTTTCCTCATCTCCACTTTTAGACCTTTAGGATCATAGTTTGACCTCCGGGTGTTAGAGCTCAGCAGCGAAGTCTCACTAATCAAAGGTTTCGATGCATTCCCAGCAGCGATGTCCGGCTGTTGCCTCGATTTGGTTTGGTTTGCCTCCAGGATTCAATTTTTTGAGTTTTTATTTAGTTTTTGTTCATTTGCCTCCATTCTGTGTTTCTTCTTGTCAAACGTCGTTTTTAAATCAATCCTTGGATTGTTTGGTGTGGCTTCTGTTAACTAGGAGAATGTCCAGCTCTGTCTAGACGTAGAGCATGTTAGATTGTTTCCGCCTTAACCAGCTCTCATGTTTCATACCTTTTAGAAATTGTTAGTATGTCTCTGCTCAGATTTCTGTGCTAAAGGAAAATTCGTAACATTTAAAACTTAAATTAAAACCTAGCAGCGGGGTAAAGAAAAGCCACGGCGCTAGACGCTACCTGAGGCATCCCTGGACCTGCCAGACTCCTTATCATCTAAAAAACAAAATCTAGCAGCGGGGTAAAGAAAAGCCATGGCGCAAGACGCTACCAAAGGCATCCCTAGACCTGCCAGATATAAACACAATCAATAAATTATACCTAGATATGACTGTTTCCACCTCCAATCATCATCAAATCAAGAAAATACATCTAACTCCTCCTACAAAATGATCCAAAGCAAGATGGTAAAATGTTTGGTTCTTCTGCTGAAGCCTCAGCTTCTCTTCATTGTGAGAAGTTGTTGAAGGAGTTAAAGGAAGATTCTTGATCAAATTCCTCTTCTCACAGTGCCCGACGAAAACGCTTCATAGGGGGCTCCTCTTCGTCATCTTCCTCTCTTCTCCTCCTCCGGGAAGAAGGGCCGGGCCGTGGAGGTCGGTGGTCCTCTTCACTCTCCGAGGAGTCCTCTGGCGGCGCCTGGTACCGTTGGAGTCTGATGAAACGGGAAACCGTCTCAATGAAGCGAAGATGTGTTTGAAGGGGGTCATCTTCTTCACTGTCTTCTTCCTCAGAGCTCATGGTATCATACCCAGAGAAGTCACTAGACGCCTCAAGAGACTCACTAGAAAAAGACCCATCCTCATCCTCATCAGAATCCTCTATCTCCTGTTCTTCATTTACCACCCCTTCTGGGACCTCTGCCTCATTATCATCCTCCTCATCATCATAATCCTCTAGCTCCTGCTCCTCATTTACCACCCCTTCTAAGACCTCTGCCTCATTATCATCCTCCTCATCATCATAATCCTCTAGATCCTGCTCCTCATTTACCACCCCTTCTAAGACCTCTGCCTCATTATCATCCTCCTCATCATCATAATCCTCTAGCTCCTGCTCCTCATTTACCACCCCTTCTGGGACCTCTGCCTCATTATCATCCTCCTCATCATCATAATCCTCTAGCTCCTGCTCCTCATTTACCACCCCTTCTGGGACCTCTGCCTCATTATCATCCTCCTCCTCATCATAATCCTCTAGCTCCTGCTCCTCATTTACCACCCCTTCTGGGACCTCTGCCTCATTATCATCCTCCTCCTCATCATAATCCTCTAGCTCCTGCTCCTCATTTACCACCCCTTCTGGGACCTCTGCCTCATTATCATCCTCCTCCTCATCATAATCCTGTAGCTCTTGCTCCTCATTTACCACTCCTTCTGGGACCTCTACCTCATTATCATCCTCCTCATCATCATAATCCTCTAGCTCCTGCTCCTCATTTACCACCCCTTCTGGGACCTCTGCCTCATTATCATCCTCCTCATCATCATAATCCTCTAGCTCCTGCTCCTCAATTACCACCCCTTCTAAGACCTCTGCCTCATTATCATCCTCCTCATCATCATAATCCTCTAGCTCCTGCTCCTCAATTACCACCCCTTCTGGGACCTCTGCCTCATTATCATCCTCCTCATCATCATAATCCTCTAGCTCCTGCTCCTCAATTACCACCCCTTCTGGGACCTCTGCCTCATTATCATCCTCCTCATCATCATAATCCTCTAGCTCCTGCTCCTCATTAACCACCCCTTCTGGGACCTCTACCTCATTATCATCCTCCTCATCATCAGAACCCTCTATCTCTTCCTCGTCATTAATCACCACATCTACGACCCTAAACTCATCATCAGACTCCACATCAACAGTAAAATCCTCCTCTACATCATCTGAGAACAGCCCTACGTTCATATAGAAAGGGAAATCAACCTGATCCGCGATCAAGATCCAGAACTCCAGGGCAGGATCAGGTGGAAGCGGGGCGTCTGGAGCAGTGAGGAAAAAAATCATTAGACCAGGAACATTAATTAAGGAACATCAAATCACAATACTCAATGCTTTATTTTAGGTTGCTGAATGTGCCTGTGAGAGTTAGTCAGGTTTAAGGAGATTTAATCAATAAAAACATCAATCTGTGCATACATACATATTTTTATGTATATATGTGTGTATATGGTCCTCGGCATCATTGTGGGGACCTTTTTTGTTATTTCACAGTCACACTGAGGAGCGATTGTCGTAAAGGGAGGACATTTCGCTGGTCCTCATGTGCGTTTTGCTGACAGCTAGGTTTAGAAAAAAGGCTACAATATCCTTTAAATCACGAGACTACCACAAAATTGAAAATGTATTTTAAATTCAAATCTTTATTTTACTAGTTATTGGGGTTTTGATTTTTTTTTCAGGATGTTATCAATATAAAAATACGCTCCAAATGGTCCATTTACTTACTTTATTTCTATTATGCTCCCTGCTATTACACTAAACTCCCCCTAGGGGGCACGCTTCCACATTTGGGAGCAACTGACCCAGACTATTCATTTGGATTTGTTCAGATTAAAGGACATTTTAAAGGCACACTATGCAACATTTTTCAGTTAATTAATGTGTTCCATAACGTTTTGGATGATTAAATGAGTCATTTCAGGTTGAACAAAGGTATTCTCGGCCGCCCTGGTGGTCTGTGGGGAAATACTGCACTTGCAATTGCAGGAGCACCGACCCGCACCCACAGGCTCAGAAGTCTCGCGAGAGTCAGTCTTGCTTTACGGCGAGAACTGCTACACCCCCCAGTTAAAAGCATGCTCGTTGCTAGCACAGTGGCGATCTTTGTGCAGTTATGCTACGTTCACATCGGACGCAGCAAAATCGCGTCTGCTGCTTCATTTTTGCTGCTTGTACCAGTTAGTTCTGACGCGCGGCTGAAGCAGCTTTGCTGCTCTGGCTGCGCGGTGCAAAAGTGTGTCTGACGCGCGTTGGGCGGAGCTTCACTATCCTTTCTCTGCCTTGCAGCTATATTTGCTGTGATCAGTGGGAATAAAGTAGTTTTAATATGTGTTTAAGTGAGAAAATACACCTGAAAACGTAATCAGTGCAGTCAGTTCATTCAGATTATCATCCTGCCTTCAATATTTTTTCTGTCGGAGCCGCTCAGACCCCCACATACCAGCGGTGCGCCGACAGAAGGAACCCCTTCATCAGCAGCCTCTGGCCGGGTCACCTCCTCGCGGTTCACCGCGGCAGCTGGTAGGTGTTTTTCATCTAAATAATCCAAACTGCAGGCAGCAGGATAATAAAAGCCAACATATTCTGCCGGCAGATTTCTGCATTTTAAGTTAATTTAGGCGTCAATAAACTGTTTAAGAGGAGTGATCATCAGCGCTGTGTCTCTCTCCCTGCGTCAGATGATTAAACGCGCCCGACGCGCTGCTTCAGCTGCTCAGACGCGCTGCGCCTGCTGCTCAAAACGCGCCGCGGGACCTTGTGCTGCGCCTTGACGCGCGTCAACCATTGACTTTGCATGTAAACTCGCTGCTTCTGTCGCGCCAGCTGCGTCCGGTGTGAACGCAGCGTTAGTCATTCGTTGCGTTCGCCTGTCTGCTAAGCTCAAAACAACCGCGCCTGGCTTGACGGAGAAACCAGGAGAACAGCTGTGCATATTTACGACAGTGCACTTTTACTTTCGCCCTCTGGGGGGAGCCTCGCTGGAAAATCAACACCAGTTGCATAGTGTACCTTTAAGCTGTGAGTAAACCTTTATTAAACCCATACTACGGAATTAGAAAAGGTTTGATCTATTAGATATTTATTTGTCAGAAAAAAAAAACTGTGTTTCCCTTAACAGAAATAAAGGCTTAAAAGCCTCAGCTTATCAGACCCCTTCCTCAGTGCATCCTAGAGTAGAAATAAAGACCTTAATCAGCACATAGAAAGCCCAGAGCAGAAATGGACATTAGCAAACTATGTAGAATAATTTTGTTTTTTTTCTAAAAACTGTAAGAAAGGGTCCTATTCAGAACTTTTAATGGGGTTAGGTGAAACCATCAGTGTTGAATGTTTCGAACACCTAGAAAAATAAGTCCTCAATGAATAAATTGTATTATTACTGGTGACAGATGGGATGAAATTATTCACCTGAAGATTCAAACAAAGGCTGCAGAAAAACAAAGACTAAACCCAGATAAACGTTTAAATAATATATGGTTCTAAATTGTTGTTTTAATTCTACCTTCTCCCTGTAAAAGAAACATATCATCCTCCTTTCTAAACTCTTAATTAAACATTTATTCTCTATGCTTTCCTCACACGGTTAACAATGGCAGCACTTAGAATAAACACAGTCAAGCTCTAAACATGTTACAGCCCAAAAATGTAAAGGATTTCATTTTTAATTCACAATCATTTTAAACCTTATAGTTGTTTATTGTTGTATCCATGGAGACCATACTTGTTCTTCAAGGCCTTCTCTGACAGAAGGGGCAAGATGCCACCTTGTTTTTAAAGGATTGGAAACCAAACTCACCTAAAATTATCCTTTGGAACCACAAACTTTTAAAATCAGTCAAACATTATTAACACATTTGATCTTCCATTAAATTCAAAATGCCACCTTATATATGCCACCTTAAAAAAAAGCCTAAAGTTGTTCAATGCATTCAAGTAAGGTATCCATGGAGACCATGTTTTTCACAGCATTTTTTAAAAATCCTCCTCTTTAAAGTTTTAATGTATTTAACAAAACCTATTTTATCCTAAAACAATTAATTTTGTATTTTTTCAACCATTTCCACATTAACTTCTTCAACTTAAATATTATTCTCTCAAGCCAAAATGTACTTTTTATCTCATTTTATCTCTGTTATCATATCTCCCATTTCCAACCAATAAAAACTCGATTTAATACATAATAACCCTTAAAAACTTTTTATTAAAACACTAAATAAAAACCTATCATTTCCTAAACACATTTACTAAACTAAACAACTTGAGAATCTTAATTTCTTCTTTTTTCCAGCTGTTACTTACAAAATACTCAAAATGTTCACTTTTTTATTATATAGAAAAATAAACAGTTCGGCTTGATAACATATTGTGTTAAATGTCCTTCAAATATATTTGAATATTTATTGAATGTAATTTCCCCAACATTTCCACATAGAGCAAAATGCATTATTTAAAATCATAGAGCTAGCGCCACCTAGTTTTCAAACATTTACTTCTAATTCAACAAAGGTGTTTCTCTCAAACAGAAATAAAAGTTATTTTCAAATCATTAAATCACTGTTAACATTTAATCGACTAAAAACATTTAATCCTGCGACGTCGGAGATGCTACATGCTAAGCTAGCTGCCACAACATCATGAAAAAAAACATCAAATTAATAATTTTTCACGTAACATTTTTGTAATTAACAAAGTAAAAGAGTACAAACAAACCTTCCAGATGATCTCTCGAGTAGTTGTGCTCCTCTGGTGCGTAGCTCATCGTTAGCAGTTTAGCAAACCACAGACTGCAGCAAGTTCAGCTTCAAGGTCCAGGCTGGAAAGTAACGTTAAAGATCGGCAGCGACTTCAGAGGCGCTCCGTTTCCATGGCAACCGAGGAGCCTGCGCATGCGCGCTGTGCGTGGGAAGATTTAAGAAGCTTGCTAATTTAGGGTGAACAAATTTTCATCGTGAAAAACCAGGACACCGTGGAGCGGGGGTCTAGGTAATCCTACAATAACATGATATTAACAGTTGATTTATTAAAAATGATTTTCAGTAAAAGTCAACAGCAATAACTCCAATAACAAATGATAATTTTATTCAAAATGTATTTATTAAAAATGCTTAACAATTCCTGTAATGAATGAATAGCACAATGAAAGAAATAATGTCTCATCTAAACATCCCCCACTTAACAATAAAAGTTAACAATAACTCTCAACTCCCAATATGATGATACTCAGCCTCAGCAATGAACGAAATAATGTCTGTTCTGTAGGTTATTGGAAAAAATAAACAAATGAGCTAATTAACAAAAAATACCTCTTTTGTAGCAAAAATAACTCAAAATGTACCAAAAACGAACAAACATATCAATAGAATATCTTGACTTTCGGAGTCCAGGTGGCTTTTCAGATCCCTTGCACCTCCATTGGACACCGAGACATATGTGCCTGCTTTGCACACTGTGCACAAGGCCTCCCATTTGTCTCGATCCGGTCTGAAAGCGGGGAAACTCTTTTGTAAATCGTTGGTAAACATACATTTGTGCCTTTGCATGTTGTTGGCGTACTGACAGCCACGCTATCTATATTCTGATTAAGAACGGGGCACCCGCACTGGCGCGGCTGAGGGGTGATATCACACGCAGCGTCGTGCGCAGTGCCCTAGCGTCTGTAAATTTAATGGTCCAATGAAGGTAATTAAAAAAAACAGGACATTTCCTCACTTTCTAAAAAAAACCCGGGACGCCCAGGACAGGACGTGAAATACGAACATGTCCTGGGAAATACGGACGTTTGGTCACCCTAGCTAATTGCAGCAGCTAATTAGCCAAGCACAGCACATTTTTCTGCAATAATATAGTTTCATCCTCGCCTAAACGTGAGTTCAGTTAAAGCTTGAGTTTAATAAGGCAAAGGAGCGAGTTTTAAAGCTCACTGGTAGCTTTCTAAGGCAGTTTGAAATATTCGACAATAAATCTGAATCTGGAAATAAATTTCACTCTGAATGAGAGAGTTGCATTTTTTTCATCGCCATTACGATTGCTGCCCATTTCAACACACCCATTCAGATGGAGTAAAATAATCCCCGCTGCATATCTCCCACGCCAGTAAAACATTTCCTCTTTAGTCTTAACCTTCATCCACTGGGGACTAAATTTAATGTGCGGATGAACATGCCAACCTGCCCTCTATCCCTGTAGCAAAGGAGCGTTAGCATAAGGTGCTGAGCCCTTAACTTAACTAATATGACCACCAAAAATAAAAGTTAGGATACAAAGATTAGATGGAGGCAGAGGCGGCTGGCCCATAGGGGGCGCTCGGGCGCCCCCCTCCCTGGCTGTGGAGGGGAAAAGTCATAAATAATATATATAGATTTTAAATAGGGAAGCACGATATTGGGATTTTGGCCGATATCCGATATGCCGATATTTTAAAACTCAAGTAGCCTGTAACCGATATCGATACCGATGTTAAAGCTGGACAAAAATAAGTTGTCATTGAAAATAGCAGTTTTGTTATCCATTTCTGACACTTTGAAAAATAATATACTCAAATATATTTTCATATGCTGATATCAAATTGATTTTTAAAAACGCGGTATCGATCTATTTTACTTTTTAAAATCTCGTGAAATTTCATCGTTCTGTTACAAACTCTCGTGATATTTTGCAAATTCTTGTGAGATTTCTTGTTAGTAAAATGGATCGATACTGCGTCAATATATCAACATATAAAAATATGGCAAAATTTCGTGAAATTTCGGGGGATTTCGTAGCATAACGCTGACATATAGCAATATTTCATTAGTAAAAGAAATTGATATGGTGTTTTTAAATGGCAATATATCAGCATATGAAGATATTGTGATATTTGAATGTATCAATATTTTTTCCCTCGTCTTTAGAAGTTTTTAAGTCTGAAAATAAGAAGTTTTTGAGGAAGAAGTAGTAGTATTTTTTTATTTTTTATTTTTAGACTTTAGAAACTAAGAAGCTGATCAAATATCGGTGGGGTGGCCGATGTCCGATATTCAGTTTTAAGGCCAATACAGGCCGATACCGATAGGGGGCCGATTATATCGTGCATCCCTAATTTTAAAAGTATTATCAATGTCAGTTTTATTTAATAGTATGTGGCTACATGTAATATGAATTATCAAAACAACACTTCTACCAATTGACTGTAATTCAACAGCACATTTCCACCGACAGAACGTATCTATTCTCTGCTTGGGCGCTCATTCAAAGCGCCCCTGAGGTGTAGCAAAATAACCAATTGTATAAAGTTGTTAGGGAAAATTAATCAATATTTGGCCAATCAGAATCGCCATAACTAATGGCTTTGGGACTAATCCGTAACGACACAACAATAGGCCCGTAAGCTACATTATCTGGGTGGGCCTCTGCCATGTGTTGGGGTATAAATAAGGTCCGGTCAGTTGATCCAGTAGCAGGTGGGTTTAAGAGGAATTTTTTGCACCATTACATTTGTAAAGAGACGTTCTAGTCCACAATTGCATAGGGGACCAACCAGGTGTCAGCGACGGGGCCCCTAAGCAACTGCAATCTCTGCTTACCGATAGTTACGACATTGCTTTCGGGCTCCTGGAATTTTGGCCCCTGATACAGTGATATACAGTAGGCCACACTCCCCAAAGCAGGCATTAGTGTGAGGGGTCACTGTCAGCTCATTCTCCCCAGCTGGGATACAAACCCAGGCCTCCTGTTTGCAGGACATGAGACTTACCGCTTGAGTTAGCCAGCCGCAAGCCGCTTAGTTGATGCAAACATGAATGACAATAAAGATGTCTAACTCTATCTAAAATCTAAATTTCTGGTTATTTTACAGTTTATCTTTTCATTTTTTTTTATTTGTAAAACTATAAGTGTTTTTTACTTTCATTTAGTGATAAGAGATAATTGCACACATTTAAAATTAAAAAGCACCTCTCACAATCTTTTTGCCTTCTAGACCTTGTCAGGTCAGAGCATCTGATTATTTAACTGCGTTTTTCTTATACACTACGGCATTAACATCTTAAATGTTTATGCATACAAATGAAAATTCCCTCATAAAGCCTTGAATGAAGCCCTTTATCACATTTTAAATCAGAAGACGACTGCAGAATTGAGTTGTGTTTCAGAGATTAAGTAATTTTGATATATTCCTTAATAAAGATTTCTGTAAATTGTGATTTCTGCAGATAAAATACATCTAAAAAAAGAGGTAAAATAATAGGGAATTTTGAATGGTTGGTGTTAAGAACTCAACTAAATCAAAGAAGATTTGATTTACCTGAAGTGTTTTCTTCATTATTCTCTTGATTAATGGATCTGAGAAAAGCATTCAAAGTGCCATCAGCTGAACAGGAAGCATTTTTGTTTGGTATCTTGTCAAGCACTAAGCACCTCCTTGTGTGGAAATTAAATGCTGTCACTTTGGCCCAGGATGTGTCAAGCTACTTCTCAATGAACTAGAATGGATCTCAGTGGGATCCTCTGCGGAAAATCAGTCAGTGGCATTTTTATCTGGCTCAGATCACTGGATGTTGGTATTGAGCACTTAGAACAACACAAAACTTTACTAAAATACAAAAAAAAAATTTTGATAGAAAGAAAAAAAGTCAAAGAACCTGATAAATTGAAAAATTGCCTGCCTGGTTCTGCTTCTATTCCTCTCAGCCCTCTCAACACTGAGCTCAGATCAGGGAAGCTACCAATAAAGTCTTCAAAAGTTGGTGAAAAGTTTTACGTCACATTAGCTGATCAGGAAACAGTACATCTTTTAAAACCCTGCTGTTTGTTTTTTAAGGAAAAGAAAAACAGGTCTAGTTTAAGGAGTAGTCATGGCGATCCTAAACTGGTCATAGCTTCATTATAATCTTACTGATCTTTAAACTACTGGAATTCATGCCTTTACTAAACTGTGGTTACATTGAACTAAATAAACACATCAGTGAAATGGTTTCAGTTTATGTAATCTTTTTCTGACATCCCCTGCCATCCTAATGTGGAGTTCACTTTAGCTCAGTCTAACCGCATTAAAAAATATTTTGGCTCAGAAGTAGTAGAGTACTGTAGTATGAGGTTTTTTCTTATTTTTGATACATTTTCTTTAGCTCTGCTGATCAACAGTAAGCAAGACTGATTTAGAAAAGCAGTGGAAAGTAGTTTGATCAATGATAAAAATAAAAAAAGCTAATAATGAAATTATGAGTTTTTGCTGATTTTTTGTATTATTTGATCAATTTAAATATGAAGTTTAACCTGGATGTAATTTTGGATCAAAGCCTATAAAAAATGCATCTTCTAGTGTTTCTTTTTGTATGATAAAGATAACTAAACAGAAATGTCCTTCTTAAAGGCTAATAGATGTTTACTTGTTTTTTTTTTTTTTTTTTTATGAGCCCGGATACAATATACAATGGCTTAATGATGCAAAGGTACACGCACAAGCCAAAAAACTTTGATTTGACATTCAATACTCAATTTCTTTACTTATTTCCTCTATTGAAAAATAGAAATTTATTTGAGCAGAAGGTTTATTTTCGATTTCTTATTTTGTATGATTGCACCATTATTTCTTTAGATGAATCCATTCGATTTTTTTGAAAAGAAAGGCCTTACTAAGTAACAAGGTGAGCAAAAATGACCACAGACCAAATATAGTTGAGCAGCTGAGAAGAACAAAACAAAATGAAGAAAAAATTAGCAGCAGTCCCTCAAGGTGAGTGGCACAGACGCACACCGAGATGGACCCTAGTCATGGACCTAGAGAAGTAATGAACCAGTCCTTCCATATTATCTCCAAATGCATCCAC